TTTCTCTTTTCTGTTTGGACTATGGCACCCGGGACTGTTTTACAGACAAAGAGCCGATCGTCTCTCTCGCCTCCGACTTGGGAGATAAATTTTACTCAGAGGGCGAAGCGTCAGATTGGAAAATTATCTCATCGGCCGCAATAGATTGTTGGAAAATGAGCGAGACTTTGGCTGGATATAAATCTTTCTCTTGAGAGGGTGAATATATCCTCGCAAAACTTTTTCTTTTCATTCGTTCCATACCAGACAGAAATGTCTTTCTTTCTCCTAGGAATAAAGTGAATATGGTTTATAGCATCGTTTTATTTCCATTTATTTAATGGCAATTACGGCGAAAGGTTGATGAGCAAACGTCGCATCTTCGACTAATTTTTCAGAAAACATTTTATTTCAGGAAAAATATTTCTGTGATGTTCCAATAATATGAGAGAAACGAGAAGCGTTTTTAACGATTTCGCCCTTATTTTTTTCTTTCTACATTTATTCGTTTAGTCTCTTGAAAGAAGCTACATAGAATTATTGATAGATTTTTGTAATTGTTAATGATAAAAAATAAGATACACTTAAAACTAAAATCTGTGAAAGTTATTTTATAGCAATTTATAATATGCGCTCTTACTTTTACATTATAAAATAAAATGGATTTTTGTTTAAGATGTTTATGGCAAATTAGAGAAGGATTTTATTCAGTAGAATAGAAAAATTGAATGCTTAAAAGAAATTCTTAAAGACCTATAGGCTGAAACCATTCAAGCGTCATTTTCTTTGAAAATCTGAACATCAAATAATTACATTCCGAACAAGAATCGCCCGAAAGAGCTGGTTCATAAGTCAGCATAAGCAAGAAAAATAAAACGGAGAAAAGCTAAGAGCGATGAAGAGAGCGTTGGGGGAAAGATAATGCGAACGTCTTCAAATAACGGCTTCATTAACCACCTGCATTGGTGGTGTCCACTTCGCACTGCAGGTAATACATACCTCCTGACAACGCGGACCGTTGTCATAGCAACTGCGGGGTGGAAGTGAAGTAGTAGAAAGATGGCTCACCTTGGTAACCAGTGGGAGGATCTGCTGCCGTCAATCACGCCACTTCTACTCTCCGCCTAACTTCTCTCTGAGTCACAGATAGGCATTTGTACATTAGGTTAGCTTGCGAAACGTGACGTTAGCTATGATACGAAGCACGCAATCAGACGCATCTGCCAAACTTGATGTCTGGATAACGGATCTCTTTGCAAGAAAGACGGCGCGATACATCGATGCTAATTAGACAAGCAAACGAATTAAAATTCCCTTTTGAAACGAAAAAATTTTCATTGGAGAGATGAGGAAAAAACACGTATTCTTTTGTAAATAGAGAAAGGGGAAAGTAGCAGATCATCGCCTGTTTTTAATTTAGAAAAAGGAGAGAAATGATTAAAAAAAAAAACGAAATTAGGTTTAAATAAATTGAAAAGGAAAGAATAAACCTGGTTGTGCGCTATTATACAGAGAATCATCCCGCGGAAGCATTACAAGGAAAGCATTCAAAAGAAAACGATGCTATAAAGTAGAACGAGGGACTAACACAGAACAATAGACGGTAGCAGCGGCGATATTACAGCAGTCCCCACTTCAACTCTCTTTTCTCTAAGCGATGTTTCGGAGCAACTCTCGGAGACCCGCCGGTATCTATTACTACTACTACTAGTCGCAGAGAGAGAGCTATCAGTAGAGAGACGGGATCCTTAAATCGTTTAGCCGAGCGAAGCCGGCAAAGAAGAAGACGGAGGAGGTTACTTAAAGCTTGTACGAACCATGGAGGGGACGAAATCGAGAGAGAGAGAGAGAGAGTTGCCCGGAAAACATCAGATCAAATCGAGCGAGCGGTGATGTTGGCCAAAGTGGTATCGATTGAATGAGGCTTTCAGCGTGCGACCTCCGGGTTTTGATGTTAGCGAATCGTGCTCGAGTATCTAGAGACGGCAATTCTACTAGTTTTCTTGTTTTCGTCAGTCCGGGTTAAACGCTGAATAAGCAGCTACATCGTATGACGGAAAGAATAGGTTGAGGATAAGAGAAAGAAAAAAACTTTCCAGACATTTCTGTCACAACCGCCTTATCTAGTAGAAAAGGAGAAAGGTCGGTTTTTACCCACCCTGCATCATCCTTATCTATCTTCAAATCTCCCACTTCCTATCAGCCAGCTTGAATGAATAGTCTTTTAAACAAGTCGTTTTAGGGTGGAGTTCTCTTTGTTCGCCACCGACCGTTGTTTCTCACTACGCCTCTACCGATTGAGGTTTCCGTTTCGATTTAAACGACTTGTTACCGTGGGCGATGAATTATCTACGCCCTTTACTTGATAAATAAACATTTTTGCATTTATGTTGCGACAAAAGACAAGATGACGCATCTCCATCCTTCTCCAATACAAGAAAACCGAGGCACAAACTAGTCAATGATTAGCTCTTTCTGCTTTCACAACATGTAAGGTTACTCGGATTTAAACTAATTCTATATCATCCTAACAATCAAAATTATCTTCTACTTTAAATTAATGAATTCAGAATCATACTGTTTTATCTTTCATCATAAAACTAAATATCTGCAGACGTATCTAAACATAATCCTCGTTAAAAATAATCTGGTGGAAAAGCTTAAGTACATGTGTTATCTAGTTTAGAACTAAATTAGTTGTGATTAGACGTTTCTAAAATGGAAATTAGGCATGCTTTGTGTTCAAAAATATATCAAAGAGAAATTCAAAATGTACTGTACAATACATATTAACTTAGCCTTAAATTATATTCGAAAAACATGAAATTATATTTCAAGATATAACGATGTTAGAATCGTGCATCTTCCTGAACATTTTCCGGATCTTTGTATCTTCCGAATCTCAAAAATCTTTTATGAATTTTGAGAATCTTATATTGTACTCTAAATCTTATATTTCTCTTCGAATCATGAGTATTTTACATTATCTACCAACAACAATATAGGCCGATATCTCCATTGAGAGTTAATGCAATGTGTAATATAGCGTAAATAAAAGAAGGAATAAACAAAGGTAAATCGCTTTAGAAACCATTTTCTACCCTATAAATTTAAATATTTGAAATTTCTATTTACCCAAATCTATATTGAAAACATATAAAATATTTTCATATTTTTGAAAGTATTTATTCAATATTTTACATTATTGTTTCCTTTTTTTTAAATAGTTCATTTTAAATAAATTCATCTTTCAAAGCAAAAACTGTAAAACTTTTCGACAAATTTGAATCGAATGATTTCTAACTTTAACAACATTTTATTATCCAAGAAATTCAGAAAGAGAGCGGGGAAGAGTAGATTTTGCTGCCAGTTGAAGTGAAACATTACACTTGGTCTTCATGTAGAGATTCGTATCGTTTGAATCAAGGAGAGTGTTCTTACAAAATCAATGACTGAACAATTTCCGACCAATTTCCCAGTTTTAAGAAAATAGGTTTATGTTTTTCAAATATGTTACCGGGGAGACAATGTCTTAGGTTTTAGCTTCCATTTTCTAATATATTGACATCTATAAAATGTAAATCCATTAGTCCCGTTCAAAGAAAGGAATCGCTTATAATTTGTGAAATAACATTTAAAAAATTAATACTAAACTATAAATTTTGACTTATATATATTTATTCTTTCTATATAATCGCATAAAAAATATATTATCCTAGTTTTTAATTAATTGATAACATTTCACATCACCCATATGTTAGCTATACAATAGATTAATGGACTTTCTAAACACATATTGATTTACTATAAACTTATAAATAGATATAAATCTGTATAATATAAAAATATAACTTATTATTTTTGAAATTAAATAGAAAAAAAAAGATTTGTTTATGATGAATCTTTTCTTAAAAAAGAAAGAGGATAATATACAAAATAAATCCTATTAACTGCTTACAAATTAAAGATGATTAATGAATTTCTTGATATGATGATACTTCCAGATAAAAACGCTTTTAATGCCACGAAGTTTTTTTTTCTAATCTCTGCCGATGAAACGATTAAAATCTTAAGAGCTAGATAATAAACTAAGCTATAAGTTTATAGAGTTATGTAACATATATTTTTTATGGTTAGGAATATAAAGTCAAAGAAAACGATTATCTGTATATTATCGTTTTGTTTGACTTTCAATATTTACTTTTAAGATTTTTGGATTTCAACTAACTTATATTTAGAAATTTGACTGTAAACAATAAAAATGATCATTTTACACGGATTTAAAACGTGTTATGAAACTAGTTTGGTTTTATAATTAAAGTTTTTAAATATTATTTTAAAATTAGTTTTATTTCGGGTATCTTTAACTTGAAATCGTAATTTTAAATAGAACTAGATGATGAAATTAAAAAAAAATAATTAAATGTGTCAGAGTACAAATAAAAAGATGCGATATTAAAATTATTTAAAACCAATTTTGTAAGGTTCAAGTGATTTTTAAATCACTCCAGGTGCAGGGTTGGGATTTTGAATAACCTCGTATACTAAATGCACTTTGTATATCATCCACAAAAAAAGTTTCTTTCCTTTTCCCCTCTGTATAATTCAAACAGCAATCTCTTGTATCTCCTTTCAAAATCTCTTAAGAGGTTCATACAAATCATGGTAGTATATTCCGTTTTTCAACGTTTCACTTGGAGCGAAATTGTGAAATCCAAAAACACTTTCAACTACAAAATAACATTCGGTATTTGTATACAGATAGATATCTCGCATGTACAAAGCTGTGAGGTAAATAAAACTTGAAAGCTCTATTCCACTTTGATGCCTCAAGTAGGATGAACACCAAGTTCTCTACGGGGAAAGAAAGCTTTTTTTTGTGTTTTATTTTAGACTTTGAACCCAAACTGTAAAAGTGAATACCGAACAGATTATTCGGTATAGACAAGCCGATTTTTATAAGATGTATTCATAGATTACAAGCAACATTTCTATTTTTTCTTCCTCCTTTTCTTATACAGGTAAAAATCTGGTTCCAAAATCGGAGGACAAAATGGAAGAAACAAGATGGAATCTCCAATGCCGAAGCAGCCGAATTAAAACCTGCGAGTGAAAAATCTAGTGGAAAAAACAAGAATAATAAATCTAACAAAGATAAAACCAATAACAGTAATACAAACAACAGCATCAACAATAACAACAGAATACCGAGTGGTAAAGTAATCACAGGCGAACAGCAGGATGTAATTGTATCAGCAGATCCCCAACCCGAATCATGTTTCCAGACAACGGAAAATGGACTATGTTTATCAGATAGCAGAGTTAAAAGTAACGACGCATACTGGTCTGCATCCGTATCACCAACAACTCCGTCTTCGGGGGTTCAAGATAGTTCTGTGGGTGAAACATCTTCCAATGAAGCGGAAAGGTACGTCTTGTCACAAACTGCGCTATTCGGTGATTCTCAAGAAGCGAGAAACGAAAATTCCGAGAAAGACTGGTCATCTCCAGCGACGACACCACCCCAAGATGGTCCTTCTACAACGGACTCACAGCCAAACGATCAAGCAAAAGAGGGATGACCTGAAACAGCATCCCCAAGAACCTTGTGTGCCTGAAACCGAGAAAATGTTAAAAAATCAGTTAGCATTTCACAAACAGAATGCAAAGGTCGTACGAAGGGATCATGTTCAGTCGATAAAATCCACACCTTCAAAAATATAACAAATAAAAATAAAACAACAATATTAACTCTTAAAATCCTTCTAAACTATTAGAAGACCCCCAAACGTAGAATAAGATATTTTAATTAGAAATTTTAATAAATTTCTATAATATTAGAACTTTTGCATAAAACAAAATTTAAATTTTGGAAAAATGTACTTACATTTTTTATTAGATCTTTCGGTCGTTTAAAAAAGTACAGTTTAGGCCAAAATAAGTACAAATTAACCTTTTGCTAGAATGTGAAACTCTAACGTCTACCGTAAAGAAAAGTGTCAATCTAAGTTGATGATGTCACGAACAGATCATCAACACAAATCTCGTTATAACGATCTCTTATATAGGCTATCCGAATAGTCATTTACTTCTCCCTCCAATCACTTCGCTGTGTCATTGCATATACCCTCTACCCCTGTAATGAAACGGGGAACGAGCACATTGTCTAAATTTTTCAAACTGAAAATCTTGTCCATTATAGAAAGAAATTCCATTTGTTATTTATTATTATGATAGTAGTTTTTATTTTATTTTACATCAATTCTGGTCAAATTATCGGAGAGTGAACGAACTTGATCCCAGTTGTGCCATCCATCGGCCAGTGTGTTCCAGCACCTTAGAATGCGACCAGCCTACATAGGCTCACTAGTGCCAAGTCCTCTTTAGAGATAGGTCTGTGTCTGTGTATATGTTGGTGTAGTTCGTCCATAATTTTCAAAGGGAGATAGGTTTTGGTTCTGTAGTAACCAACTACAGATGTCAAATAAAAAAGTATAAATATATATATATACATATATATATATCTATATATATATAATATTAACTTAAAATGTTGTCTGTGGATTCTTTCATCCGTTTCATTCACATTAAACAACTTTTATCGTGGCTTAAATATTTTACAAGATAAATGTTAACGTTTAAAGTAGCAGAAATCGCGATTTAACATTTGTTAATTCATAATCCTGTCAAATATTTCGTTTTATTCTTATCAGCGGTCTTAATATTATGACTACTCGATTTCTGTTTGTCGGTATTTTAAGAGGTTAAACAACATTTAAAACTAAAATATGAAGCTTGAATCTATAAACAATAATTAAGAATTTCACTTTAAAAGGAACTATGAATTATTTCCACCATAAAATAATGAAGTTAACTTGAGTTTGATCATTCGCATAATAGAGAAGCATCTGCTAATTTTTGTATCTCATAAAATAAGCTCAAAAGTAAACAATGAAGTAATCAATACTATTAAGTTCTTGGTAAATAAATAAATTTTATGCTGAAGAGAACTCAACTCGATTTAGTAAATGAAACTTCATAAAATAAACTCCAACTTTTATTATTTTAATTTATTCTTAAAAAAAAATAAGAAAAAAATACGTATAAATTTTTAAAACGTTATTTTAATTTATATACATTTTTATAAAGAATTTTCGAAGGTTGGTGATATTTTTAAATAGATGAAAATTGTAATTAGAGCACGATTAAAGTGAAAGTATTTTAGAAAATGCGAAGTTGTGCTCGTGTGAGAAGTGATGTGGCAGAGGTTCAGTAATGCAGAGTCAGTTATTGGTTTCAGGGCGAGACAATAAGTCTGAATCACTCTGCTATTGACAGGGACGGCTATTTGGAGACGGTCTTTCCCTCCCGTCTATGGCCAATCCATTGGTGGAACGCCCTTTCCTTGTAACAGGCAAAAACCCGCTCGGAACTAATGGATTCTCCTCTCGGTACTGCACGCCCACCGATTTTATATTCCCACCGTGTAATTCCCAGCATTCCTTGTCACTTCCGGGGAACGTTTATAATAAAGTTTAGTGTTTTAAATGGATAACAATAGCTCTGATGTCGAATGCCTAAATATTGACGCTCTCTTCCTATCACTCATCTGGAGCGTGACTTTTCTCTTTACTGAAAGAAGATGGAACGATCTAGATGTGTATCCGGAAAACAATGACAATTCCAATGACTCTTTGATATTATCTTAAGGCATTTTTCGGCTGATGTTGCTTTATCCTTCATCCGTTCCGGAAGTTAACTTTTGTATGCTTTAACACGAACGTTTTGATATTTTAGGAAGTGTCAAAATTAGTTAACAGCAAGTTACAACACCCGTTTTAACTCGTTTATTCATAAATAAAATTGAAAAATTTACAAATTTTAAAGTATTTATAACAAAAACAAAGTTTTACGATTATATTTTCATTAAAAACAAATGCAAAAATTACCGATAAACAAACTAAAAATTCAAGTAATTGTAGTCTAGCTTCTACAGTCGGCAACAATTTTCGCATAAATTTAATTTATTTACCTGATAATTGTTTATATTTAATTAATTTTATTAATTTTTGTATTAATTTAAAATATTCTTTAATCAATTAAATCTATAATTTAAAAATGAGATAAATAATTTAAACTAAACTGAGCCGAACAAGTCATTTTAGAATGTCATAAAAGTATTAAAACAAAGAGCGAAACATCAAATTACATATTAACTACTTAATAAATCTTAAATTTTATATTTAATAATTTATAATGAAGTTACTACTAATTAAATTGAACAAAAATACATTTTATTTATCACAGAATTATTCAATAATGTGTTTAAGAATCAATAAATAACTGAAATAACAAGCGGATAAAATCAAATTCGAAAAATACAATAAAATAGATGTTGTAAAAATTGTTACCAACTAACTTTAGATATAAAATACTTTTAAAGCCATAAATTCTTATTGATCATATTGATCTTAAGAACTCATAATATTTCTATACCGTAAAGCATACTTAAGATTAGTTTATCCTTTCCTAATCCTAGAATTCTGAACCTAGTCTTTATCGAAATACAGCTCTAATCTATATCTAAATACAAAAAATAAACAATGGAATTTATATTAAAGAAAAGTGATATATTTTTCTCTATAATTTCTAAAATATAATATAAAAATTTGCTTAAATATGCACTATATAAACAACAATCTACCTTAGTCTACATATATATTTATGTCAATTATTTCTTAAATATTTTTAATCAAAGCAATTTTTTTAAAAAAAATTAAGAAATGATGGATAAAGCCAATATGCTTTAGTTGACATTGCAATAATGATTTGGGCAAGCGGTGTTATATAAATTGAATTACTTCATCTAAAGTGTGGCACCCTTACTCCCCCATGCATGTCACTAGCCAATTACAGTCAACTAGATGGAAATATTCTATCCGAATTCATTAACTTTTACAAGAAGGTTGACTATCAATGAATCAAAAAATCTCCTTTAAACAATAACTTAGTCAAAACCATTAAAAGGTGACCAAATTCTTCAAAAAAATCAACTTGTTTGTAGACTTAATTCGCCGCTTTATTCAACCTGTCACTTAGATCAAGTAAGTCGATTTTTTTTTCTATTTAATTTTAAAGTTTATAAAAATATTATTTTTATATCGATTTATAAACTTTAACTGATTTTTATTATGATCATTTTCTATTAGAGAATGGATGTTAACCTTGAGTAAAAGCCAGTTTTATCGAGATTTTAGGAGGAAAAATATAATGTAAAGAAAAAAGAAAAAGTCTGGACTGAATTCGTAAGTATCATAATTTAATTTTTTTCAAATAATTTATTTTTATAAATACATTTTTCTCTATTTGAATATGAAAATAAAAATTCGCGAACGTTTAATAATTTCATATTTATTTATTTTTTCCCATAATTTTAAAGTAAGTTTTACTAAATTAGATTTATTGCTTAAAATCTTGTTTCATCTAAAAGAAAGGACTAATTGTAGCAAGATGTAACTATATAGACATTTTTTATTACTGTAAAGTGCTTTACATATCATTTATTAAAGAGAAAATCTCCACTTTAGTATATTTCGAGCGCAAATAATCACAACAAACACACAACTAACGCTTTATTTCGATTAAAAATGCCCCTGTAAACGTACTCTCCCGCAATATTCACTTGTTAACAGTGCAGCTGTCATTCAAGGATATTAATTTAGATTTTAATACTTTCTTGGCAATTTTTTATGTCATATCTAAACAAATTGTTTAAATTGTATTTTAATTCAGTCCATTTTTAATTCTATAGTATGTATGCGTACATTTTTTAGATTATAAAGAGAAGAGAAGAGGGGGGGAAATAAAAAAAAATAAAAAATAAAAAGGTTTGCCAAAACCAGAGAAAATTTTATAATAATTTCACGAGAAGCTACCACCTGGTGTATACATTAATCAAAGAGTAAAATAACATTACAATTCGTTGACTTTATACTTTCAAACCATTAATGGCAAGCATGGTTGGGAAAGTGTTCATCTTTCAATTCAATTTTCTTGCAAGCATCAAACGTTAAGCGAAAAGCTTTCTGTTAAATCTACTTAGGGATTTCCTGCATTTGTTTGTTATAACATTTCCTTCATGTAAAGTATTGATATTAAGAATATTTTACTGAACAGATTTTTCCATCCCCTTTAATAAATTATTTTACTTTTATTTTGAACCGCCTGACATCTGTTACATTCGCATCCAAGCAATTTTAATATTTATTAATTTGTATCGAAATAACTTACCTGTTGATGTAAATTTTTAACATTTTAATCATTTATTTCAATCGTTTTTATTATTATTAATGTTTATATCAGTGAAAAACTGTTAACGAATTAATTTTTGACGCTTTGTGGGAAGATTTTGCGACTTTTTTTTTTCCAATGTTAATTCTCAATGTTATATAATTTTAAGGAGAAATAGGAATCTATATAAATATAAGATATCACTTAACTATTTTTGATTTTTAATTTTATTTACGCTAAATTTTGTTTTATTTTTTAATAAAGAAGGCTTGAAAAAGTGCGAATGTTATAAGATAAATTCTGTTTCTTAATATAGAGTAACAATTAGGTTATATTTAGGCCTATACTCTTCATAAAATATAATTTTAATATAAGATTTTAATGAAAAAACTTCGAAAATAATTCATTTGTCTATCTATTATTTCAGTTATCTTTATAAAACTTATCCTAAACCTTTTCTTGATTATTAAAAATTATTAATTTAAAAATTACTGCTTAAACTTCTTCTTATCATTATAAAAAGACTAAATCTAATATTATTTAATTATTCTTTATAAATTTAAATATTATTTGAAGAATGGCAGTAGAAAGAAAGAGAGTGGAAATAAAATTATTAGAAAAGAGAAAGTGTCCAGTTGTGTTCTATTGGGGTTGACGGATTCGAAGCCCACTAAGTGATGGCTTGTATCGATTCTCTGTCCAGAACATCCCCTGTTTTCATCACCCCTATGGAGGCAGACCCTGCCACTTTTCCACTTCCCGTCTGGCACAACTACATCCGGCAAAGTTTGCTATGAGGTGTTGCTAGAACTTTGCTGACGCGAGTCACTTCTTTTGTTACATATAGTATTTCGATTCTCTTCTTTATATCCTCCATTTTTCTTATAGAAAAGTTTAGTTAAATGCACGCTTGTAAAATAAAAATAATCATTACATAATTTTCAGTGTTTTATTAACTTTTTATAACCGTATATAGTTTGATTTTACAACAATTTTTAAGCGTTTTATTTTATGTGAAATAGTGTGTTAACGACTTTGGCTCGGTTGTCTTTAGTCGCTCAAGAACTAAACAACTGTTGTCTGTCATTCAGCTAACGACAACTTAGGCAGAAGCTGGAGAATGTAGACAATGTCGGCGACTATTGCAGGATCTCTTTTCCTGGCAAGTATTCGTTAAAGATGCCGTACAAAACTCCTGACAGCTTAGTTAGGCTTCTTCTAGAAAAAGGAAGACTGATGTGTATCTAGAACTAGTTCGTTATTTCT